CCACTTCCTTATTGAGCGAGTCACTGGTACTTCCTGCTTTAGTTTTTGCTTGTTAGCAGGAATCAGGAGGATAGAATTATGGTCAGATTTGCCAAATGGAGGGCGAGGGAGAGCTTTGTATGCGTCTCTGTGTGTGGAGTAAAGGTGGTCTAGAGTTTTTTTCCCTCTGGTTGCACATTTAACATGCTGGTAGAAATTAGGTAAAACTGGTTTTTTAAGTTTCCCTGCATTAAAGTCCCCGGCCACTAGGAGCGCCACTTCTGGATGAGCGTTTTCCTGTTTGCTTATGGCCTTATACAGCTCGTTGAGTGCGGTCTTAGTGCCAGCATTGGTTTGTGGTGGTAAATAAACGGCTACGAATAATATAGATGAAACTCTCTTGGTAGATAGTGGGTCTACAGCTTATCATGAGATACTCTACCTCAGGCGAGCAATACCTTGAGACTTCTTTAATATTAGACATCACGTACCAGCTGTTATTGACAAATAGACACACCCCTCCGCCCCTCGTCTTACCAAACGTTGCTGTTCTGTCCTGCCGATGCACGGAAAACCCAGCCAACTGAATATTATCTGTGTTGTCGTTCAGCCACGACTCTGTGAAACATACATTTACATCATTTACATAAGATGTTACAGTTTTTAATGTCCCGTTGGTAGGACAGTCTCAAGCGGAGATCATCCAGTTTATTTTCCAGTGATTGCACGTTGGCCAATAGGACGGATGGTAGAGGCGGGTTACCCACTCGCCAACTAATTCTCACAATGCACCTCGATCTCCGCCCCCTGTTGGTAGTGTTTCATGAGGTTTCAACCAGACACCAGAACAGTAATAATGTCTTGACAGATTCATGAGAAAATGTGAGATGTATTGTCATGTCAGTAACACTAACAGATCATGAAGAGTGAGGTAGATAGATGCTTGAAGGTAAAAACAAACAATATGTCCCCCAATAATGAAAGAAAACAACAAAGAATATCTCTATGTAATAGTTGATATACTCGCAGGGCGTTTTGGGCAGTGATTTACAAACATCACAAAAGGAAAAAAACTACAATAAATAGTCAAATGGAAAAACATTAAGGTGAAGCAGGGAAACATTTAGCTATGAACAATAAATCCTTCCAAATGCATCCCAACCAGCTAGTCCACTGGGAAGTCTACCATACAGTATTATCAACCAATGTACCAGGATATTAACCTACCTGGAATGAAAAGGTTTACAATGAACCAGTATTCATAGTGTCTAAAATGGATTACAGATTGAGTGTATTTCTGTTTAGTGTTCAACCGGTCTTTACCATCCGTTTCAGTTAGAGATGATGGGTCTTAACTGATCTAATCAATAATCTGACTCAATACAAAGTGCGGTGGATAACTAGCATTATTTGACCTAGTAATGGGGGAAGATATGTCAGTAGCAGATCATTATTTGACCTAGTAATGGGGGAAGATATGTCAGTAGCAGATCATTATTTGACCTAGTAATGGGGGAAGATATGTCAGTAGCAGATCATTATTTGACCTAGTAATGGGGGAAGATATGTCAGTAGCAGATCATTATTTGATCTAGTAATGGGGGAAGATATGTCAGTAGCAGATCATTATTTGATCTAGTAATGGGGGAAGATATGATCATTATTTGATCTAGTAATGGGGGAAGATATGTCAGTAGCAGATCATTATTTGACCTAGTAATGGGGCAAGATATGTCAGTAGCAGATCATTATTTGATCTAGTAATGGGGGAGGATATGTCAGTAGCAGATCATTATTTGACCTAGTAATGGGGGAGGATATGTCAGTAGCAGATCATTATTTGACCTAGTAATGGGGGAGGGGTGTTCTCTCTCCTTCATTCAGGACGGGGGGGGGGGGGGGGGGGGGGGGGGAACCACCACTAGACCTCTTAGAAATGAAAAAGCTCCTTCTAGAAAAAGAACAATGTATTTGTGAAAAACAATAGAAGGCTTTGGACAATATGTGGCTAAACAGCATCTCTTTATGAGTTAAAGAGAAACAATTATGTTTCATATGAATCAATTGTTTGAGAAATACAACAAACATAAGAACAATGGACTGTCGTGGGAACGAGGAGGATTCATTTCATATAGACACAGTGGGGAGAACTGTATATTACAACCACAAGACAAATAATAAAGAATGAAATAGCAGCTTCTTTCTGTACAGACAATTACTTAGAAGAACATGTCAACTGTAAAACAGTGATTACAAAGACTCAAACAGGTGATGTGTATGAAAATGTTCTCAGGTTTAACGACACTATATACAGCAGTATGTGGACACCCCTTCATATTAGTGGATTCTAATAGAGATGCACTATATATACAGCAGTATGTGGACACCCCTTCATATTAGTGGATTCTAATAGAGATGCACTATATATACAGCAGTATGTGGACACCCCTTCATATTAGTGGATTCTAATAGAGATGCACTATATATACAGCAGTATGTGGACACCCCTTCATATTAGTCGATTCTAATAGAGATGCACTATATATACAGCAGTATGTGGACACCCCTTCATATTAGTGGATTCTAATAGAGATGCACTATATATACAGCAGTATGTGGACACCCCTTCATATTAGTGGATTCTAATAGAGATGCACTATATATACAGCAGTATGAGGACACCCCTTCATCTTAGTGGATTCTAATAGAGATGCACTATATATACAGCAGTATGTGGACACCCCTTCATATTAGTGGATTTGGCTATTTCAGCCACACCCGTTGCTAAAATCAAGCACACAGCCACGCAATCTCCACAGACAAATATTGGCAGTAGAATGTCTTTACTGAAGAGCTCAGTGACTTTCAATGTGGCAAAGTCATAGGATGCCACCTTTCTAACAAGTCAGTTCGTAAAATGTTGCCCTGCGAGAGCTGCCCCGGTCAACTGCAAGTTCTGTTATTGTGAAGTGGAAACATCTAGGAGCAACAACGGCTCAGCCGCGAAGTGGTAGGCCACACAAGCTCGGGACCACGCGAGTGCTGAAGCGCGTAAAAATAATCTGTCCTCGGTTGCAACATTCACTACTGAGTTCCAAACTGCCTCTGGAAGCAATGTCAGCACAAGAACTGTTCGTCGGGAGCTTCATGAAATGGGTTTCCATGGCTGAGCAGCTGCACACAAGCCTAAGATCACCATGCGCAATGCCAAGCGCCGGCTGGAGTGGTGTAAAGCTCGCCGCCATTGGACTCTGGAGCAGTGGAAACGCGTTCTCTGGAGTGATGAATCACGTTTCACCATCTGGCAGTCTGACGGACGAATCTGGGTTTGGCGGATGCCAGGAGAATGCTATCTGCCCGAATGCATAGTGCCAACTGTAAAGTTTGGTGGAGGAGGAATAATGGTCTGGGGCTGTTTTACATGGTTCGGGCTAGGCCCCTTAGTTGCAGTGAAGGGAAATCTTAATGCTACAGCATACAATGACATTCTAGACGATTCTGTGCTTCCAACTTTGTGGCAACAGTTTGGGGAAGGCCCTTTCCTGTTTCAGCATGACAATGTCCCCGTGCACAAAGCGAGGTCCATACAGAAATGGTTTGTCAAGATCGGTAGAACTTGACTGGCCTGCACAGAGCCCTGACCTCAACCCCATCGAACACCTTTGGGACGAATTGGAACGCTGACTGCGAGCCAGGCCTAATCGCCCAACATCAGTGCCCGACCTCACTAATGCTCTTGTGGCTGAATTGAAGCAAGTCCCCGCAGCAATGTTCCAACATCTAGTGGAAAGCCTTCCCAGAAGAGTGGAGGCTGTTATAGCAGCAAAGGGGGGACCAACTCCATATTAATGGATGTGATTTTGGAATGAGATGTTGGAGGAGCAGGTGTCCACATCCTGCTGGTCATGTAGTGTATAACACTGTAAGAGCAATGCAGAAATGTTGTGAATCTTAGAGAAGAGAGACGACAGACTAGTGTAAATATATACCTGCTGTGTACAGCAACGCCTCCCTCCCTCCCTCTCTCCCTCCCTCCCTCCCTCCCCCTCTCCCCCTCCCTCCCTCCCTCCCTCCATACTGGACTGGAGCCAGTGTCTGTCTGTGTCCCAAATGACACCCTATTCCCTACATAGTGGAAAACGTTTGGTCTAAAGTAGTGCACTAAATACTACATAGGGAATAGGGTGGCATTTGGGACGTAAAGCTGCGTTACTTTACGAGGTCCAGTCTGTTGAGTTGTAGTGTTCTGAGAGACATGTTTTGGCTGCATCCTTTGTGCTTCATGTAACAACACTGTGTGTTCTGACAGTGTCCATTTCTAACCCTCTAGATGACCTGTGTAGAAGGAGACAGAGTCCCAAACCGCACACTATTCCCTATTTAGTTGAACTGTGACACCCACGACCCTGGTCAAACGTAGTGCACTAAATAGGGAATAGTGTGCCGTTTGGGACACAACCGGACGGAGCCATACGCAGCCATACGGAGCCATACGGAGCCATACGCAGCCATACGGAGCCATACGCAGCCATACGGAGCCATACGGAGCCATACGGAGCCATACGGAGCCATACGCAGCCATACAGAGCCATACGCAGCCATACGGAGCCATACGCAGGTCCACATCTCATGTAGTATCCACCAGGGTCAGAATGCTCTTCCCTTCTCCACAGGGAGGTCCACATCTCATGTAGTATCCACCAGGGTCAGAATGCTCTTCCCTTCTCCACAGGGAGGTCCACATCTCATGTCTGTCTGTCCATCCACTGACATACAACACAGACACAGACAGCGCCTGAACGTTGACTTTGTAGATTAACCTCCCAATAATAATAAAGCCCTCCAGTATCACACAGTGAGCCAACCAACCAAACATCACTCTGAAAGGCTGTCTCCATTTGGGAATATTTAGAAAAACTAACAAAAAACTTTGCTCAGGAAGGGTTCTGGTTGTGTTCCAGGGTCCTCCCAGCAGGCCTCAACAGGTGGTGGTTCATATCACTCAGTCAGTTGATAGAAATCTAGATACAATAAAAGTATGAAAAAGTAGAGGAGTCCACTCCAGAGGAGTCCACTACAGAGGAGTCCACTCCAGAGGAGTCCACTACAGAGGAGTCCACTCCAGAGGAGTCCACTACAGAGGAGTCCACTCCAGAGGAGTCCACTACAGAGGAGTCCACTCCAGAGGAGTCCACTACAGAGGAGTCCACTACAGAGGAGTCCACTCCAGGTCCACTCCAGAGGAGTCCACTCCAGAGGAGTCCACTACAGAGGAGTCCACTCCAGAGGAGTCCACTCCAGAGGAGTCCACTACAGAGGAGTCCACTCCAGAGGAGTCCACTCCAGAGGAGTCCACTACAGAGGAGTCCACTCCAGAGGAGTCCACTCCAGAGGAGTCCACTACAGAGGAGTCCACTACAGAGGAGTCCACTCCAGGTCCACTACAGAGGAGTCCACTACAGAGGAGTCCACTCCAGAGGAGTCCACTCCAGAGGAGTCCACTACAGAGGAGTCCACTACAGAGGAGTCCACTCCAGGTCCACTCCAGAGGAGTCCACTCCAGAGGAGTCCACTCAAGAGGAGTCCACTACAGAGGAGTCCACCAAGCTCTGTTGAGAAGAGAGGGAGGATGGGAGTGGTCTGCTAGGATCAGCAGGCCGAGGACTGTGGGAGGGGCATGGCACATTCCTTCTTCCTCACTCCGTTCATGTGTGCGTAGGGCGGTGTGTCAGTGAAGGCTGGTCGCAGCAGGACCTGGGCGACCGCCTCGGGGCCGTTGGACGCAACCTGTCCTGAGGCCCCTGAGCTCTGGGCCGAGGAGGGGCCAGGGGCCCCTGGGGAGCAGGGGGACGAGGGAGCCTGGGGCTGGACCTGCCCAGAGGAGGGGGCTGAAGTGGGGCTGGAGCCCAGCGTTAATGGACCGGCGGGGGCCGTGGAGGCTGGTGTCTGTTGGGAGGGGGAAGGAGGGGGCTGGTTGGGCGGGGCGGACCCGGAGGTGGTGGGGGGGCAGGGGATGGGGGGTCGTGAGGAGGCAGCTGGGCCTAAAGGAACATTCTTCATGTTCTCTACCTCCATGTCCAACTCCTCTGGGTCTGGAAGCTTGTTCTCTTGGCTGTAAAAGAAACTCATCTCTCTGAACGGTGGCTCCAGCTCCTCCTTGATGCTGTTAATTATCTCCAGGAACGATGGACGCATCTTAGGGTTGTACTGCCAACACATACGCATTAACTCAAACCTGGTAGGAGAGAGAGATAAGTTAGATATCATCTTAGTAGTGTTTGTGGGTAGCAGTTGTCCTTTCAATTCAAACACCAATATTTAATTAACAGTTTACGTTCCATATCTATAAGTGTGTGTGTGTGTGTGTGTGTGTGTGTGTGTGTGTGTGTGTGTGTACAGTAATACTTGTTTTCCAGACAGGGTTGTTTGTGAAGCATTTATGGTGATGTTGTATTTCCCCCTCTGGTCAATAGATGGCAGTATACTCCACATTACAGCCTCCAGTCAATAGACGGCAGTATACTCCACATTACAGCCTCCAGTCAATAGACGGCAGTATACTCCACATTACAGCCTCCAGTCAATAGACGGCAGTATACTCCACATTACAGCCTCCAGTCAATAGACGGCAGTATACTCCACATTACAGCCTCCAGTCAATAGACGGCAGTATACTCCACATTACAGCCTCCGGTCAATAGACGGCAGTATACTCCACATTCCAGCCTCCAGTCAATAGACGGCAGTATACTCCACATTCCAGCCTCCAGTCAATAGACGGCAGTATACTCCACATTACAGCCTCCAGTCAATAGATGGCAGTATACTCCACATTACAGCCTCTGGTCAATAGATGGCAGTATACTCCACATTACAGCCTCCAGTCAATAGACGGCAGTATACTCCACATTACAGCCTCCAGTCAATAGACGGCAGTATACTCCACAATACAGCCTCCAGTCAATAGACGGCAGTATACTCCACATTACAGCCTCCAGTCAATAGATGGCAGTATACTCCACATTACAGCCTCTGGTCAATAGATGGCAGTATACTCCACATTACAGCCTCCGGTCAATAGACGGCAGTATACTCCACAATACAGCCTCCGGTCAATAGACGGCAGTATACTCCACATTACAGCCTCCAGTCAATAGATGGCAGTATACTCCACAATACAGCCTCCAGTCAATAGACGGCAGTATACTCCACATTACAGCCTCCAGTCAATAGACGGCAGTATACTCCACATTACAGCCTCTGGTCAATAGATGGCAGTATACTCCACATTACAGCCTCCGGTCAATAGACGGCAGTATACTCCACATTACAGCCTCCAGTCAATAGACGGCAGTATACTCCACATTACAGCCTCCAGTCAATAGACGGCAGTATACTCCACATTACAGCCTCCAGTCAATAGACGGCAGTATACTCCACAATACAGCCTCCAGTCAATAGACGGCAGTATACTCCACATTACAGCCTCCAGTCAATAGACGGCAGTATACTCCACATTAC